TATTTTTTTTTTGTTTTTATAATTTATCCTATAATTTATGTCAAAGAATTTTAAAAAATAGTCGCACCCATCTTGAATACCATTTTTTAAAAATTTTTTAATAAAATAAGTCGAAATACTTTTTAAAAATCAGTGAAATTTGTCATTGCTCAATGCACGCGTGCATGTGTGCATGTGTGCATGTGTGCATGTGTGCATGTGTCTCTTTCTTTTAAATCGTAAATATTTGTTATAAGTATTTTTTAAAAAAATATTACATATGTGTGAGTCAATGTTACTTAACAGCTGTTTTTAATAAAAACTTGTCTACCATTAATAACATCTGAAATTTTTGAAAAATAGTTTCATTTTTAAACAGATAAATTTTAAAATAAATTTAAATTTTGAAGGAGGTTAAAGGTCAAAGAAAAATTTTTGGCTGAAAGTTTTAACGGATTTATTCTTTTTTTTCCAAATAATTAGAGAATTTATTCTTCAAGGTAAGTAATCATTAAAATTTTTTATGTGAAAGTCGATCAATATCGCTTGAAAATTTTATTTTTTGAAATGTTTTCAAGTGATAATCGATTGTAACTTTTTGTTTCTCAGTTCATTTGTTTCTTTTTTTGTTCATATGAATGTGCTTTGGACTTTTGACCCTTATCAATCGATAGGTCAAATTTTATGCCTATTTAACTGAGTTGATTTGTGGTATTAAAATAATAAATTATCGAAAAGGAAATGTATTATTATCCACTGATTTAATCACTGAATAAAAGACGTATAGTTAGTTACCCGAATATTTCTTGATTTAAGTCGAAAACTGATTCGTTTTGATTATGAATTTATTTATACGGGCCATTTAATTCGGTTAAAACTTATGCGAATTCTTCTTAGTTCATTTGTATTTGTGGCATTTTTTTCAACTGAAGCGAACATTTTCATGCATCGAAACGATGGAATAAGTCTGAACAAAGAATGACCTCGGCGCTTGACCTTTGAACTCGAAGAATTTCTTATCGGACGAAAATATCAATTATATCAATAAATATACGAAAGTTTAAATGAAATTGGAAGAAGATGATCGATGAAGATTTATCTCAGAAGCTAATAAAAAGACTCGTCTAGTCGTCTTCGGGTGTAATCCTTGATATTCCGTCGAAAACTCGTTATATTCTATAACCACCACTTCGAATCCCATTTCTCGCCAAATACTCATCATTACTCCCTTAATGCCTCCAATGTTCCAATAATGACGGTCATATTACGCCTTGCTATTTTATAATTTATAGCTGCAGGTGCGGAGAAGTGGAGGTAAGGATCTGACGGGGTTTTTAGCGGGTGTGCTATATTAAAGGGCTGCAACTGGGTCAAATAGTATATGTGACAGAAGAAGATAAAGCTTACAAAATAATATAGATTTTGGGACTGATCTCAGCGAATATCAAATAAACCATAACATGACCGAGTGTTCTGCGTTGGCTTCCACAAGCAGACGGACCTCGAACATGCATTGGTAGTAAAATATATATATGGATTAATAATACTGTAATGAGAATAATCACTTGTGTTGATAATGCAGTAATCAGTGCTGATCAGCACTTATTCAGAATAATTTAATACATCACTTATAATAAGATGAAATTTCCATTTCATTCCTTTTTTCCTTTCTACGTTCCTCCTTTCTTATTGTACTCCATCTTTCTCTCTTTCCATCATTTTCCTTCCTTCTTGCCCTCATTCCTCCCTCCTCCACTCTCCTCTTTTTTTTATTCCAAATTTTGATTGATTTCCACGATTATTTATAAAAGCGTTTTGCGAGAAGGCTGTATTTTATTGTCTTTTGGACCGCATCGATGTATGAAAATCTGTCTTTTTCGTTTTTTAAGTTGGAGTGCTTGGTTTCAAGTGGTGTTTTCATTCGGTACTTCTCACCTGAGTCTCAAAGGTTAAAACGCTATTAATAACAGTTGTTTCATGCTCGTGACTATAGGTGTTATTTTTTCAAGCTCGTGTGAACGAGCATAAAATAAAGAAAAAAAATTTGTTGGTTTGAGCTCCATTGAAAAAAATTGGATTATGGAAGCCTTCTTCAAATATTTTTTGGGTAATTTTAATAAAAAAGAAGTTAAAAAATGGGAATGATGGGGATTAAAATAGAGAGGGAAAAAAAGTTAGGAGAGAAGAGAGTGGTAGAAGAGGGAATGGAGGGGGAGGGGGGGGGGGTTGTAGAAGGAATGAAGGGAGAGGAGTTAGATGTATAGAGAAATTTGATGCAGCCAAATTTCATCTGTTTTTAGCCAAGAATTTTCAGTTTATCGATGAACTGTCGCTAGTCCAGTTCCTTATTATATTTTTAATATTTTTACTGTTTATTTTTTGCGGGCCACTCATATCTGATAAGGCTCGCTCCGCTGGCTTGTCGGACTCGACAAATTTTGCCGGGGAGTCACCTGGCGATAGATGAAGATGAGTCGCTAGCACGCACCTTTCACTGCAGTTCAAAGTAAATATTTCCTTTTCTTCTTTCCTACCCTTTTATAACTGTACCAAGCCTTTTTCTCCATTTCTAGTATGTATTCTGGAAAGCGCGTGTGCTTTCTTAGAAGCACGACCGCAGCCGCAAACTATGAATCTGCGGACTCCACTATACTCGCTTAACATATCCTTAAATTTCGCTTTCTCAACTTCATCGCTAAATTTGTGTGTATTTTCTTTTGCTTGCAGATTCGTTTAGCCATGTTTTGGTACCTTTGTCCTTCATGGGCCCATAGGTTCCTAAGATTGTCACCAAGCGTCTAGTGCGAAAGTCTATTTCAAACCATGCAGAGATCCATGGTTTGAAGTATCCCGTGGGCGAGTCGCTCTTCTCTCGCCATAGCAGAATAGGACCGAGGTTAGGGCTTACAGTATATTACTTGCCTATGTTAGTCTGCTTGTCATTTAGATTATTTCTTGATATTTGTGGTAGCAACACCATCCAAAAAAGCGGAAGGTCAACGAGGGGTTGTGCCAGATGTACTGCATGAATAATTCATTGCTGAATACAATATTTAATCGAAATAATAGTATTTCAGAGAATTAGAATCGAATATAGATGCAAATTTACAAGAATATGTTTTATTGCTGCTATAGTATTTGTTAGGAAAATTTAGATAAAGAATTTTTCAAAGCAAAATTGCTAGAAAAAACCAGAAGAGAGAGAAATGAGAGAATATAATAATCGAGATCGACGAATGAATGACAATGAATTGGATCCATGCATTGCAGCTGAAGTTCGTATGAAAAAGGCTCTCTTTAGTCCGCGGTACGTTTTTATTTTAAAATATTTTAAGGGAGGAAATGAAAAGGAAAAGGATTAATATTAAAAAGGAATCTTTTATGGTGTGGAAATGAATGAAAAAATGGAACAGAAAAGAGAAAAGAAATGTGCGGAAAAACGTTAGAAAAATCGCTTATAAATTTTTTAATATGTTTTTTGTGTTTTCTTTTCGAAAAAAGTGAGAAAAATAAAGAAAAAAATCTATTGAAATTGTTTTTTCAGCTTAAAACGTCAACTTCTTGTTTTGTTTGCTATTATTTTCTTAATTATTATTATTGTAATTGCTTTATTTTTTATTATAAATGGTCGATCAACTGAAAAAACTGATAAATTAATGGGCAAAACTCGTAATAATACTAATACTAATAATAATAATAATACTGCTACTGAAATAAAAAATAATTTTGCTATTCCTACAACAATGCAGATTCATTCTCAGCCATTTTTACAGGTTTCTTTCGTTTGTTATTCCTCTTTTTCTTAATATTTTTTTATTGTTTTTATTTGTTATTTATTTATTTACATGTTTTATTATTATTATTGCTACAGCTATTTTTGTTGGTTATTTTTTATCATTTTTTAATATTAATATTATTGCTTATTGCTATTAGCATTGGTCACTGGCATTCATCAGTATTATCGATAATTATTATTTACAAGTTATAATATTTTTGCCAGAAATTTCTTACCATGACATCCCGAAATTTCGCCTATATTCTTTTTTTGGCGACATAAATTCCGAAAAATGATACGAAGTGTAATTTATTATTTATTATTTTTAATAATAATTTATTATTTATTATTTTATCTTAACAATTTATTATTTTTATTACGTGTTTATTATTTTCATTATTATTTTTATTAAGTGTAATTTATTATTAATTATTATTTTTATTTTTATTATTTTATAAATTTATTACGATTGAAACTTATTTTTTTGCATAAGCACAATTTTTAAGATTAATAGATAAATTCAATTTAAATTAGTTTCTGATATCAAATTAAAAAGATCAAGAATGTGAGATTAAAATCAAACAAGTAAGAAAATATGAAAATTTATTAAATTTTTATCTTCAAACTGTATCGATTATAAAATTGCAGACAACTCAACGGACATCGCTCGAGGTCGATTTTAATAAATTTTATACTTTGAATAGTGCAATGCAGTTTAATGATAGTAAATCGTTGATTGAAGATGTATGTTTGAGTTATCACCTTTAATGAGCTTTTGAAATCTCGTAAGGATTTGTGATAAAAATTTTGTAGTGTAAAAATACTACTCAAATGACTCTCTAGCGAAGTAATAGCAGAAGAATGAAATGAAATATGCGATACGAATCGTCAGATTTAGTGTTGAACGTACTAGGAAGATTTTAAAGAAAAAACTGAGTGATCTGATCAATTCATTTAATGAAAAGTTTTCAAAATTGAACCATTTTCAGTGTGTTGATTTTTCAGATAAAGACCAGCATCGAGACTGAAATTCTTTCAACTCAATCTAGCATCTTCTCAAATATTGTTTCAACCAGCTCGTATAGTCCTTCAGTTGTCTCATTATCATTTGAAGACAATAATAGTCTTCCAGGAACCTCGACTATCCAACAGTCTAATACAGTAGCAGCATTTCTGTTGCCTATTTCTGTGATCTCATCTACTTCCACCAATCCATCTGCTTTTCCCAACGTTGAAAAAGCATTAAACCAGCATTCTGTTATGTCAAATTATATTTCACCAATTAGTCGATTTAATAAAGATGTTAATTTTACTGCCAAGGTATTTTCTTGTTATAATTTTTTAATTAAATGAATTTGATTAACTCGACTTAACTAGCCTTCTTATCTTTTTTCAGGATTGCAAGGAACAACTGGATAATGGGAACAAAAATTCAGGTTTTTATCGAATATTAGTACCGAAGATGGAACCATTTGATGTATTTTGTGATATGACGACTAGTGGTGGCGGGTGGACACTGATTCAAAGGTTTAGTCACAACAAATTTAGTTGTCATTGAAAAGAAATTAGGAAGGGCTTTTCCAATAATCTTTTTAATTATTTCTAATAATTAATTTTCAATTTCAGCAAATTTTTGGAGATTTTGATTTAGAAAAATTTAGAAGGGAAAGTGGTGAGGTTTATTTTTCAAATCGGACTTGGATTGAATATGAAGAGGGATTTGGAGAAATTGCTTCATCATTTTGGCTTGGTTTGAAAAAGGTTTGTCATTTTACTAAAATTTTAAACAGTTTGTTTTTATGTTATAATTTTTAAAGTGAAATCACTTTTTTAGATAAATTAAATTTTAAGATTCGAGGTTTGGTAGCAGTAAGAAAATCGTTAACTCTTCGAATCGAATTGAAAGGTGATTTTTGTAATGATGTTAAACGATGTTCAAACTTATCGAATGGTTTCTGGTGGGGTGAATGGAATTTTAAGGTTATAAATATTTCTGTATTTTGAATCGTTATTGATTTTCTGCTTGAAAAGTTTTTACCTGTCCTAATTACAGATTTTTATATTTCGTTTGATCATTCAGATATTTAATCGTAAAATGATGATACTTCTATGAAATTCTTTAGCAATTGTATTTCTTTATCATTGCTAACTAATAAATTTTTCTTAGATTGCTGATTCCATTCAAAATTACAAATTAACGATATCTCCTGCAAAAGCTGGTAATCTTACTGAATATACAACTGGTGATAAATTTTTCATTATGAACAATGGAAGGGCCTTTACAACGATTGATCGTGATAATGATAAATTTGTGGGGAACTGCGCTCAATTTCGTGATTTTGGGTAAATTTGTATCTAATTTCTTTTTTATTAATGAACATCTTTTTTGTTTTTAATAAATATTTTTAGTGGCTGGTGGCATAATGATTGCAGTTATGTGGCGCTTAATGGTCGATATGGCGATTCATCTTGGAAAATGCGTGGCTTATATTGGTTCTACTCAATAGGACAACGACCTGTCGTATCATATCACATTAAGCCAAAGCGTACGGTAATGAAGATTCGCCCTAACGAATGATGGTAATGAAGATTCGATTTAACGAATCAAATTTATGAAAAAATATATGATATTTGACTGACAAAATATTTTTGTTCGATTTTTAAACCGTCGTTTCCTACAGATTAATTATAAATCTTCAACTTTTGCTTAATTTGTCATAAAATGAAGTTCACTCTTTTTCTCAATTTCGTATTTTAATGACTGGAAGTAGATAAAAATCATGTATAAATTTAAAATTTTCTGCTTCGATCGTTTATGCTTACAGCCTTTGGTGGTGAATATTTGTTTAGATTTATTTGTGTACTTTTTCTTTTAACCGCCTGCACCACTTCTTATATGTCAGAATTCTTTCTGCAATATTATTCATATCAGAAGAAAGAATTGGTTCCGTTCTATTTACTATTAATCGAAACTATCAAACTCGCATTCAATCCCATTTGGGTAATCCACTTGAATTTTATTTTGTCTTTCTCATTTACGGGTTTAAGAAATATTAATAAATTAATTAATTTAAGAAATATACTAAGAAATTTTTCAAAGAATTTAAATTATTTAATGTTAACTATGGTTGTTTACAGTCTTTAGTGTTGAATATATATTTGCTGATGGTTTCATCTAATTAATAATTCCTATTCAGCAATAATAGCTTAAATATCTCTTGGCATATTTTTTAATTTAATATCTTGAAACGTATCATTTAATGTTACAATAATTTAGGTTTAATTTAGGTTCTAATCAGTTTAATACAGTTAACTCCGTTTCTTCTGTTTCCATTTCTTATTCATTATAAAATTTATATTGTATTAAACTAGTTGTATTGATTGAGAATTTTATAGGGTAAGCGTTTCGTGCTTCGAAGGTACTGATAAAACTTATATTCTTTCATCGATCTGTATATCTGTATATTTTTATGAAAGCCAAAGTTTTCTACGGAGCTAAAGGAACCTAAATAAATAAATTTATAAGCTATTAAAATGAATCAAATAAGTAAAATTAACTAAAATGAAATCCCAGTGTGAGGTAAAATTTATTAGTTGCTCAGATTCTGTGGTGCCTTTATAGTTATTACGAAAAAATTACAGATCAACATACCAGTATTACTCGTTTAACACATTGCTAGATTAAAGTGCTTTTCCCAGAGTCATATGGAGATAGTGCATTAGGTACATTGATTTTACAATAATAGGGCTACCACCATCGAGGAAGCACATAATATTAACCGTTAGTTGAAGCAATATAATAATCATTGTATGCTAAGAGTACATGTAACAATTCAGCAGAAAATTTCATGAAAAGGAAGGAAGAAAAAGGAAATTTCGATGGTGCCTTTTTCCCAAACTAAATATGTTGTGAAATTAGGATTATTATTTACAACATATAAATTTTATACAAAAAAACATTAACAAATCGCTATACTCATGCTTCGAAATTTCGATGATTGCACCTTAGGTGCAGATGCAGCTAAAGCCAATGATCGGAAAATTTCTCCTTTTTCTTCGCTTGAACATTCATTGAAAGCAATATTTGAGTATGCATAACCCTAAAAGTTTTGTAAAATTTCCTTAGTAATCGTTCATATTTGGTTTTTTGTTTTTTCCTCCAAGTTTTTCCACCATTTCTAGTTTGGTGGCTTGTTGGACCAGGTGAATTTTGTTGGGGAAGGGAATTTTGATTTTTGAAAAATTTTTGTTTATTTCTACTTGGATCTATAGGATCTGTAGAACCTTAGCATCTAGTCACGAGATGATAGCAACCCGCTAAATTATTCTATCTAGCTTTTTATGTGTGAACATGAAGTTTTAATGTTGTCCTCTCAAATTTTACCAGATTGTGATTGTTAGGTACCGTCGCCATTACTTGAGAACTAACGTTGTTAATGCATTTTTCACCAAATTTCCTTCGAAGGCCACCATCTTCTGCAATATATTTGTTTTCATTTTCTCGGTTATCTAATTATTGAAATAATAAAATGTCAAATACCCTATGTAATTTATTTCTAACAATTAATTTAAAAAAAGTTGGTTCAAGTTGCTACCTTAAAGGGTTTTTCTCAAAGTATTTGTGCTATTATTTGTACTGTGTATTTGTTATTTGTTTATATATTTAATCGTGAAAATTATACCACAGCATTTTGAAAATTCAAGCTCTATATATAATAATTTAATAGTCTAACCAGGCTGGATTTAGGTGAAGCAAGAAGCTATGCGCATCTCTTAGCATAAGGCTTATGATGGGTGAAGCAGGACCAAATCTCCACCAACATGGCCAATATTGAACGCTCAGCGATACGGACTTTCAAGGTGAAAAAAGGCGAGGTTTAGTTAAACAGCAGTCATGTGAGCAATTGGAAGAAAAAATAACCATAAGTATCCATAATTTGCTAATGTTAATGTCTAAGTTGACAATTTCTTGGAAAATGCTGCTCAAATAATACTAAATTGGTGCTCTCTTGTACTACTAAATCTCTCTATTCAGGCTCCCCTAAGACTTATTCAAAGGCGATCCGTACAGTTTCAAATCAGATTAGATAGCATTACAGTTGTAGTTATGATGGCCTTTTTGCCATTTTACTTACATATAATTGATTGTAGTATAACTGCAGTATTGTACCTTCAGAATGTCCTCTGTACGATTTCTTTCGTATTGCTCCAGACCATATTCGTGTCAAATCAAAGCAGGAATACTCGTGATTGCATAACCATTTAAAATGAACGTAATCATAAAAGAATTCACTGCGAAGTTTCTTTTTAAAAAATTTTAATGAAAATATAATGTACAACATATAATAAAAAGGACTTGTGATGCTGGCGATTCACCTGTATTTCTGTTGCCAAGGAACTCCCTGGCATATTTGTCTAGTCCGACAAGCCAGCGGAGCAAATCTTACCATCAACGGGGCTCTTTAAAAAAATAACAATTTGCTATGTTGTAGTATATATCCAAGAGAAAACTCGGTTGGAATATCAAAAAGTAAGATTTCGGTCTGAAATCCTTCGGAAGTTTCAAAATATATCTTTTGTTATACGACTGCAAAACATAGCATGAGAGGGAAAATATCGAGAAATTACCTACTTTTGATCATCCACACATAAAGCACATTTAATAGCTTGCCAAGCTGAAAAATCTCACATGACTGCATCCACCTTTGCTCGAATACCATCTGCACTAATAATCCATGGAATATCGCTGATTAAACCATGTTTTTTTTAGGCCGTCGATCGCATGAGCTGATGCATATAGCATATTTGCTCTGTGATGGACGGCATCAAAAATGCGAAGGACCGGTTTAAGATCTGGACTGATCCAATCAAGAACGATTTCGAAAATATAGGTGCTCAGCGATATATGGGCTTGGACGATGAGAGATGGTTTATGTTATTGTTAAATATTGGGTCGGAGTGGGTTTTTTGGAAATATCCCTGTGGACGGCGCAGTTAGCTTAACCAGTAATAGAAAGGGCTGTCAAAAGATAAAGAAGACATTTAAAATCTTATATTTCACAAAAAGTCAAACCTTATAAATGCAACCTTTCCAAAACCTTGATATTTTCCTTTGTGACCTATTGCTATGCTCAAATAAATTACTCTCTTATATGCGGCATCTTCAAAATTTAAATCCTCGTTCACACTTCTTTATCAAACTTGTTATACTCTAACGCAATCTCCTTACTTCTTTCGATTCGCATCTTTATTATTTTCTCATCAGTACTTCCATCGAACTTCTTGTGCTCTTTTGACACCAACCTCATATGCTCTCTTAAAATTCAAAGTCAACTGTAGCCCTTAGGCCTTTTACACTTCTGGACTTCGACATTCTCTCTGTAGGATCTAGTCCGGTCACAAATTGAAAAGCCATGAACAACATAAAAGGAATTGGGAAATGACAGATGGAGGAGGGAGGAGGAAGAATAATGAAGACAGTGAATGTGAAAGTGGTGTAATATTGTTCAAAGGGAAATATTATAAGGTTTGTTGTTTTGATGAAAAATTATGACGAGCTCAGTCTAAAATAATCAAAACAGGAAACGTTAAATTTGCACATCTTTATAAAATGATAATTATCAACATTTGGTATTTGACAAAAAAAGTTATCAGATACCTAAATACAGCACCACCACAGCAAAAGCAGCAACAACATCCAAAACAAAATGTCATTGAGAACATTCCCAAGAAAAACGTTATATCATCCCGAAGCTTTCCTAAAACGTATTTTACAATTATAAATATAAATTATAAATTATATTGATTTATATAAATTAAATATAAAGATATAAATTATATTGAAAAAGATTAATTAATCAAGGATTATGAAAAAAATGCATAAAAAATGTTTATAAAAATCTAAAATTTAAAAAGTGAAAAAAACAAAATTTTCCATCTTAAATCTTAAATGATATGCTAAATATTCAAAGAAATAAATATTTTACAATAATATATTTTATATTAAATACAATAATATATTTATATATTTTATATATTTATATATTTTATAATATATTTTATAATATATAATTTGTGGAAAGCAAAAATGATAAATTGGCAAACCCTGTAATAATGGTTCATCAAATTCGTCTTCTGAATCCAAAAGAATCCGACATATAATAAAAATTGCAATATTTACAATAGTCATCTAAATATTAATTTTCATTTCATAAAAATATTTTAAAATATAAATATTAATCCAAAACTTCTCAATCCCACTCAATCGGAGTAGGATGGCTCAGTGGGTTATTGCCCTCGTTTCGAAGAGCCGATGTTCGGGATTTACTGCACGAGTAACGGTACTTTTCAAAAAATCGGATGATGCTGACAACTCTTGTATCTTTTGCCAAATGATTCCTTCCTTCGCAAATTCTTTTCCTGGTCTGGCAAGTCAGCGATGCTTTTGATGCCATCCATCACAGCGAACCCAAACAACAAAGATAGAAAACGTGCAAAAAAACGATATTTTTGGAATAAATATGTTTCGTTGGCTGAATATTTCCGTAGTTTCACATAAATTTTCAAATAAATTTCAAATAAATTTTGAATTTTTTTCATCAAATTTGAAGCATTTTAGAAGTAATATTTTTATATTTTATATTTTTCACTTTTTTTATATTTTTTAATTATATTTTAACTTTTTTTAATTAAAAATTTAATCAAAACTTACACTAGCAATAATCGCAATTGTACATCCCCAATTCTTTGGTTTACCGGGTTCTTCTTCATCAAACATTTGAAAATATCGTAGAAACAAAGCAAATAAATTAATTTATTCGGTTGATAAATTTTTTTCTCAAAATTTATTTATTAAAAGAAAGAATTAAAAAAAAGAAGGAAAAATAACGCATTAAACGATGGTTTCTTTTTCCTCTTAACAATTTTCCCCATTACTGATTCGGCTGGCTCTGCTGGCTACAAGGATAAGTCGGCTCCAAACTGGTCCGACACCTACACTGACAATAATAAAAGCCATTTTTTTTTCCACTGTCTAAGTCGATATATCGCTGGTCCACTTATACTTTCAAAATCTTTCCTGATCGTATCAGTCCAGATTTTGACTGGCCCTCCTTGCTTCTGATGTCATCCATCACAGGGATTAGCAAGGAACGAAATATGCATCAATTCCTGTGGTGGAGTGCGAAGAACATGTCCTAACCAGTGAAGACGGTGTTCGGTGATGATGGTATTAAGACAGATGGTATTTGAGTGAAGATGCATACGACCATGTGATTTCATCCGCTCGGCGAACTCGTATGATGTGGCCAAAGGAAGATAGCTGTATGAACTAATAATGACATAGAGTAAAAAAAATATTTTAGCTTCTTAATATCCTTCACTCTCAATGGTCATGTCTCGCAGCCATATAGCAAGATATCGAGTGAACTTCAGCTATATAGACGTGGATTTTCGTTTTTATGGCAATGATAAGTCCACAAAGGTTTTGTCAGCCGGAAGAACACATATCTAGAAACGATAGCTTGCAATGATAATAAAAAATATACAATAACAATAATAAAAAATAATAAAAGCAATAAACAATAATAATAATTATAATAATAATTATAAATTATAATAATATAACAATATATTATGATTATAATATATATTAATATATATTATAATAATAACAATAATAATAATAGGATGATAATAATAAAATAATAATGGTAAAAAATAATATGGATGAAAAATAAAATAATATTTATTTAAAATAATTAATATGAACCCCATAGAGTAAGGAAAATATTCTAGCAATTTTTGTCTACATATAATATATAACAATATATTAACAATATTAATAATTTTTTTTAATTTTTTAATAAAAAAAATTAAGCCATTTATTACATTTATATAGTTATATAGTTTAGTTAATTTTCTCCATCAATAGCACTGCGGATTTGGCTAATTCCACTGATAAAAAATGAAACAGCTTTCAGGTAGACAGTCATTTGATGATAAGAACAAGTGGTAGATTTGCTCTTGCAAATGATTTAAAATTATGTAAAAAAAAATTCGTTGCCACCGATGAACTTTTCTCGTCAGAATACGTCAAACGCATATTGCTGAAGAGCGAAAGGAGATAGATTGGCTCAATAGATTGTTGCTTAATTTGGAGCGTCGATGCTGAGAATCTTTATAAGGCAGGAGCAAATTTGTCTTTCAAAAATTTGGGCAATGCTGGCAACTCACCTGCACTTCTATTTCCAAATGACCCTCGGGCAAAACTTGTCTGGTCCGATAAGCCAGCGAAGCTAGCCTAGCCAGCTGTAATGGCTGCTATTAGAAAAAATATACATGCACATAAGAAAATATGGGGAAATACTACTGCTTTTGCAATGATAATAATATGGTAATAATATTAATAATGGTCGATAGTGTGGGGAGGAGGATTACTTATAGGACAATCGATTTTATGAAAAATAAATATATGTATACAAGCGGGTATATTTGAATTTTGATGAGAAAATATTTTATGATAATAATGGTGATAGATTATCATATTATCATTGATATTATTACATTTGTCACCTAATGTTTATCAATTATCACTTAGGAACACTAAAGATTAGTGAGATAAGAGGTAAGTGCGATAAAATATGAAAAATATGTTATGTAATATAAAATTAAAAAATAATATTCCTCATTAATTTAACCGAATTTTTTTGAGCACAGTCAAATAAATTAAATAATGCCGACCGATCGAAAAAATTTAGTTTCTTTAATCCACTCGACTAATTTGCGTGTTTTTTTCTCTATTTTAGTAATTATTAAAACGATTTATTAAAACTATAATTAGGGATATATTAGAGAGAAAAATTTGCAGAGCACTTTAGCTGAAGAAAAAGATAAAATACGTTAGAAAACCCAAAAAGTATTATAAGAAATAATAAAGTGACTGGTGCACAGCTTTTCTGGTGTTCTCATTGTTTGCTATTTAATACGATGAGAGAATTTAGGGAAGTGAATGACTACAGGAATAGGAGTGGAATGCAACAATATCCGGATTTATCTCCACTGGAAGCAGAATTCGAGCTTCGATGCTCGAGCTGTGCACCAGTCACTCTGAGCAATCTAAACAATAACCCACTGCACTATAGTGGTAATATAGTGGAGGAATACAAGCTTAATTGATGACAGAATCTGAAAAGATTAAATAATTTTTCAGATGTTTACCTACTTTATGGGGGAATAATCTTTTTCCAGCACTAGTGACTATTTCTTGTTTGACTAGTACAAGTGACGAATTCAGTGAAAAATTTGTTGCCTGAACCACTTGATAGGTGAACTTTTAGTAACTTTTAGTAAACATCCTGATTCAGATTTAATCAAAGAATTGGAAGTTCTACACGGGAAACTGTGCAATTCGATCACCGTAAACCTGCCTATAGGCAAGGAAATAACTTCTCTATTTTATTAACATTGGCAATTCATTTTTCTATTTGTTGGTAGAAAATATTTAATCGAAATTTTTTCAACAAATTAAAAATATAATAAAAATTATAAAAATTATTCTTTTTTTTCTAGTAGAAAAGAATGAATATAATGCATATAATTCACCTCAAAATTATTTATTAATAGTAATAAAAGTAAAAGTAGCAACAAAAAAATCGTTACAATTTCATACGAAAACTTGCACGATTGAATTCCTAAAAAATTCTCTCGCCGAAAAGTTCGAAAAATTATAGATAGATGACCTCAGGAAATTTGAAGACCCACAGAGTAAACGACCTCAAGGAACTTGAAAACCCACTATTCTCCAGATACGACGAGGAATGCAGAATCTATGACAGCATTCATATAAGATCTTATTAATAATGAATAATAAGGAAATGAGATTTGTATATATATATATACATAAAATCACTTTCCCAGCCCCTGTGGGTAGTATAGATCATCTTCAGCCTCTACCATAAGCTATTTCTGCGCATATTTTATTTTCTTGTGTTCTTCTGGATAGAGATCACTAATTCCTTGTTATTGGAATCTATTAAAGCCACTTTGCCAGTTTAAAAGTCATAGTCCCTATCATTACTACCATTACTACCAGTTTAGAAATCATATTAGTGCCATTTGGACCACTTTGGTCTTTATTTTCTATATATAATAAATAGAAGGCATGATCTTATAGAATGGATGAAATCGCTCTGATGAACGTTTTATAAGTGCAGTATTTTTTAGGCAACTTAGTCGGTAATGGCAGCAATCGGTAAACTACGATTTATGGTCTCACTGGGGGCCCGTGGCGATTGTTATGATTTCATGGAAACTTAATTCAAATTATATTTTAAATTGTTCAAATTTGAAGCGAATTTATAGGACATGAAAGAAATAAATGAATTAATTTAAATACACTCATTTGATATTTAAGTTTATCACTATTTGCTTTCGCAAAAGGATCTTCTTGGTACTTCCTTTACTCTCTTCTAAAGCGATATTTAGAAATCTACATGTTTATCTACATATTTCCTTTGAAGATCTTTCCAATAAGATCTCTAAATAATCTTCAAACCTACTCCTATTTTTTCCTTCACGCCTCCCTATGTTCACTTAGATAAACTTCATCATATATTCTTCTCTGAAATCCCTCGCTTTTTCGAATCCTATTGTACATCCAAACAAATTCTTATATGATCATTGCTCAAAATAGTTCGAATTCTGTCATGTTGCATCTCGCTAACATTATCAATCCGTATTCCTTTGGAATTCCTCAAACTGCATAGAAAGCACGCAGAACCGCAGCTCCTGCTTAAAAGTTCCCCGCATATTGTTTTTATATACAATAATGCTGCTATTCTCTTCAAGATTTCATGTGCTCATTTAAAATCTCCGACCTCTCAAATTGAGTGCCTGTCTAAAATCCTGTTTTATCTCCATCTTAAGACCTTAATGCCACGCTACGCTATACTGGTTCAGCGCCTAGTGAAACCCGTCTTATCTTCAAAATACAAATCCCTCTCCATAGTAACCTCTCTGGGCTTTGCTACGTTCTTTTAACGCAAACCCTGGTATATTATTTAGTTCTTCTTACACTCTCTCATATAAGAAACTTCATAGATAACTGACTCCAATCATCCTGTTTTTTCCACCCTTTGAACTAAGAATTCTCCTGCGATATTACGGGCTTCACTCATTTACATTATTCGAGAATTCTACACCAAATTTACAAGATTTAAGAGATGAATTTGATAGTTTCGCTAATAAAACTTATTTGTTAACTATAAAATACGAGAATTTGTCTTGATTCATATTCTCTCGAACTAAAGTATTCATTCCGTTATTCTATCATTCATTCCGTTTTTATTTCCTCACTCAAGTATCTGTGAACAAGACATTCATCACTAATAGCCACCATAAAAATTAAATTTTTAAAGCAATGTTGCTATTTGTTATCATTCGTTTTGTTATCACTATCATTAGAAAGTGACAATATAATAAAAGTATTTCGATTTACCTTTCAAATTTCTTCCAAAGGAATGAAATATTTCTCAATTTTGCATATAAAATTACATTTCTCGCAAAGGTGCAAGGTGCAATTTTTAGAATAAATTAATAAATCCGCTGTAAATTAATCGACTTCCACCTAGCCAACTGTAAATTTTTCTTACCAATGGCAATAAAAAAAAGAAATTTCCACTTTTAATACAAAAAAACAATTAAATGTGTAATTCGTTCTGACGAATTATCATGTGAGCGTTATATATAAGAACTACAGAACTTCTTCTTTTAAAGCACCACAAATTTTTTATTTCTAATAAAATTTATGACTGAATAATCCTTAGCTAAGACGATTCTTTTCAAATGGTAGAAAATTTTGGTAAACAATTGCGAGTAATTTTTCCCTTTTCCATATTTTTTAAATTTTTATAATTTTTAGTGATATGATAACGACAACCTTAATTATATTGCCTCAACATACCACTAAATCCGGTTTTCCTCTTTAAAATCTCCTCCAACTCCGAAGTTCCATCTTATTCTAATCGTTCTATAGCCGTTTGTAATCTCTTAAATCTCTCATAATCTTTTAAACCTTTCTTAATTCTTGAGAACCTATTGCGCCTCATCAACGAACCCCTAAATTCTCTAATATACAACTTTTCTACTTCATTAATGACTATCTGCAAATTTAATTTTTACACTCGTTTACAAGACCCTTAGAGATCTTTTGCTAGAGTTATCAAATCATACCAAATTCAGTCTCGTTAAACTCCCTTATGCTACGTCGAATCCGAATCCATCAGACTCTCATAATGGTCCCCAAAGCCAGTCCTGGCATTTTATTATGGCTAACTGGGACTTTTAAAAGTATACTGCACTACCGAATTCTGCAGGTATAAATTATGAAATCACAAAGTCTAATAAAAAATTGTATCATGCATGTTCGAGAAAAACAATGGTAATTGAAAATGCCAATGGAGATTAGTGGAGATTCGGCGATTGCAAAAACGATTCGAGGAAGTATGAAGGGAGTATTAAGATATAGAGGACCTAGATCGGAGTTAATTTCCAAATTTCCAACGAATTTTTTCATTCATTTCTAATTACCATTTTTACCTCATTCCTTAATGAACTCCTTGATGAATATTCTATATGTCCCTGGGGCAAGTAGCCATTAAAATAATTCTCAAATCGAACTTTTAGAGATGAGGTTTATTCAACTACCGCTGATAGTAGTTTGCTTGATTTTGAATTCAGTTCTGTCATTTTCACCACGGCAATGGTACTCGGATATTGAATACGAATTTGAATACCGAGAGTTTTATAAGTAAGTCAATTCTCATCAATTCAAACACAGTTATTAATCAATTTTCTAAATCAATTTTTTTTCTCTAGTATTCACGCCGCTCCACAATCTTTTCGGGCCATTTCACCAGCGCTTTATTTGGCGATAGAACTATGGACGAAAACTGCCAACTGCCCTGATTTTCGAAAGATTTCCCCTTGCCAGTAGCATCCTAGTATTGGCCCTAAAGAGTGCCAATAACCCACTGAACCGCTTTGCCCTCATAATACTCTCATAACCTTGAAAAGTCTGATTCTGTAAAAAGAACCAAGAAAAAAGACAACAAGAAAAAAATTTCCATTCAGTTACTAAATGATTTATAAATCTATAAAATTTTTAGTAAACGCATTAAACGAGGTTTTTCGACGTATAACACATAACGCACGGATTTGACGAACTAATTAATTAATGAAAATAGTAGACTGAAAGAAATCCCAATCATTTCTACCAATGACGGTCCCATAATCTCATCTACGAATAAATTATTTTCGCATAAAAATTGTTAATTTAAATATTCACATAAACAAATTTGTTTCTTTCTGAAAACATTGAAATTTCATTTATTCTGTATTGAAATTTTATTCTATATAGAAATGAATTTAATTCTTGAAAAAAAATAAAAAAACAAGAAAACTTGATTCATTATATATATATTTTTGTATACATTTTCCTATTAGAAAAAAATAAAATGGGGAAAATTTTTAAACTGAGTAAGGAAAAATTGTTTCTTTCAATTTGACAATAAACAATAAAGCCAACCAAGTAAAGGTAACCGTAAGATGATGCGTTCTTTGCGACATATTTAGCTAGAGTGCAGCTAAAATCTCAAGCTCCAGCTTTTGATAATATTTATCCATTTTTATCCATTTCAAATACAAAAATCGAATCCATGACGGTTGACTTCGGTTGAAACAATACACCATCGCCAAATTTTTCTCCAAATTTCTTACTTTTTATTTTGCAATTTTACATTATTTTTTATACCGTTAAAATTAAATACTGCATTCTTTGTTCAGGCTCGGTTGTCTCCTGCTGAAATTTTCCATTTCCTTATTTCTGATGCAGAAAATGAATCAATACAAGAAATATTAGTTTATTAATTAGTTTAGCTATACAAAATATTTTGCATATTAATAATCTGAACAGATCGCAATATTATCATGTATCATCTGGTTTAAATTTTTTTCAAACATTCCGAAATCAAATCGGCTATGCTCTGACGAATTTCTTTCGATGAACACGTTATTTTTGTTCGTTCGCCATTATTTTCAATTCGAATTTCCGCATGCAAATCATTCTTAAATTTTATTTATATTTTTTAAAAGTCATTATAAATAACTTTTTTTTAAAGAAGAATCTAAAGTTATATTTACTTGATCAGAAAAGCGCTAATTTTTAATTTTTAATTTTTAAAATTTTTTAAGAAATGAAAACGATAAATCAATATTAATAAAAAAAATAATATAATTTTAGGTTATTCTTTAATGCAGAGAGTTTTAAGAAATAAATTACTCTATTAATACTGAATAAAACTAGTTTTTTTTTTCTTAATGTCGTCTAAAAATATTGATGAAATGACTAACTAATTTGATGAATGCTTTACCACTGAACATTTCCACTGAATATTTTATATTCTTCTACAAAAACAGTAACCAAAATATTTGTGAAAAAAATGTGAAAATGTGACAAAAAATATTCCAAAAAATTTGCAGATAAACTACAGAAAGCAAAAATAGTGCATTTATTTTTTAAAAATCATGATAAACAACTTTTTTTTCAACAGAAGAATCAAAAAATATAACTATATTCATCTGATCAGGAAAGAATTTGCAAAAAAATTTTTAATCTATACTATGAGAAAAAAATAAAAAAACGTACTTTACTAAAAAATCGAGAAAGTGATTCCACGTCTAGCTTACCAATATAATGAGGACGAATCATGCGATTGCATTTATCGGATTCTTTGAATTTCGATTCAGGCTATAAAAAAAATTTCACGGCTTTTTTTATAATTTAAAGTTTTACAAAAAGGTAAAAATCTTCTTAGCATACCTTGAAATAAAAAAACAGTGAAAAACATTACAAATAGCTTTAAAAGATTATCGTAGACTGATAGATATCCTCTAACTGATGAAATACCAAAGTCATTTGTTTGTCCGAAACCATGTAATTCTATTGTACGAAGCATCTGCAATAAGATAATGCGGTAAAAAAAAAATTAAAATTAAACAAGCAAACAAGATAAATATTCAGAGAAGTTTTTATTTTTTATCAAGAAGTGATAGTGAAACAAACTTCAGGATGTAAGTGAACTTTCTTTGGATTAGAGCTAGAAGATATCGTTAATAACCTTCCATAACTAAATGACGAATGCGGTTGCTAAAAAAACTATAATGAAATTCGAATATTTTTAGAATTAGTACTAAAAATAAAAAATTGATCCTCACAATTAGAAAAAAATGTAAATTATCAAAATTAAAAAGAGAAAAATCGCACATGCATAATGACGAAATCTGAACGATGTGAATTTTGCGAGTATTCTTCTGCTAAAATTAATAATTTAGGAGCAAGATCGGGAATAATCGACGGATTCAATTGCGAATAATCCAGACGGGTTTCAATAGGGTAAAAATAAGCACGAATAGGTAAATTTTCGAAAGGACCATATACTTCATTTAAAGGATAATCTGGATCTAAAAATAGATATTTTAATACAACAGTTTTTTTTAATGCTGGAGAATTAAAATTTAATCAATATCTGCAAAAAACACCTGTTATTATAATTGCATTACGTGAATCATTTCCCCACATCTCAAGAAAATGCACAGCATCACCAATTCGCAATGATGGATGACCAGTGAAAAGAACACAAGGAGTACGCATTTGTCGGCAGAAATCACCAGAAATGGAATTATATACATGCAATCGACCATTTTTTGTTGTCTAAACCTTTCTACTATTAATTTTTCCAAAAAATCAATATTAATATTTGTCTAGCAAAACTGATGATGACAACGAGATAGGAACCTGGATGTGGCTAAATGGTTCTTCTGGTACATAGACCATAGCTTGTTTTTTTTCTGAAAGCCATTCAGCGCATATATTAGAATAAGCAAGAGAATTATTTGCAACGGGCGAGATTAAATAAACTGGAACATCAACTGATATGTCATGCTGAAAAATAATTCATAAAGGCTACTAAAGTATTTATTTTTGAAATGTTGAGAAATAAAACAACAACTTGATCCAGTTGAGCAGAGATAACTTCTAAGAGATCATATATTACACCGGTTGGACAAACAGGCAACAATACTGATCCATGCTTTTTCAAAGTTTCCGTAATCACAGCGAAAACGTTACATACCTGAAAAGTTACGAGTTTTTTAATTTCTTGTTTGAATAGTGAAATTTTATACTATACCTCATATACTAGAAAGATTTCACAAACTTTACATTTTATTTGAATATTACACTAGCATAAATAAATCTAAAACTCGCGAAAAACATTCTGGCGATCTGTAATCGATATACCTTCAGAAGACATTGAATATTCCATGGAATATTCAGCAGCACAATCCTCACGTTTAATATTAGAAGTCTGGTAGCATTCATCAAAATAAATTTTCACGCTAATGCACACCTCATATTCTTATAAAACTATATATATTTCCTTCTTTTCTTCTAATTGGCTCCAACGGCTACAAGGGCAAAACGCTTCCAAGCCGTAAGGTCTGATGCCATCGCAGACAGTAATAGAAGACATTCCTTTTTCCATCGTCTAAGTCCATATATTGCTGGTCCATTTATACGTTCAAAAATCTTTTCTGACCAGGTCCACTTTGCTAACCATAACATGGTTTAGCAAGTAACGAAATATGCGTCAACTCCTGCGGTGGACGACGGAGAACGTGACTTAACCAGCGAAAACGATGCTCTGTGATGACATTATTAATTCAAGTGGTATTTGAACGAAGGTTGATGAGATATTTTATCCGCTCGGTAGAATATACCTTAGATCCCATAAAATGTACCTTAGACAAGAATGGTCAAAGGCAGATAATTTCTTAATATCCTACACTCTCATTGGCCATGTCTCAGAGCCATATAGCAAGATCGAACAAATCACGGCTATATAGATGCGGACTTTCGTTTTTATGGTGATTTCATGACTCCATAAAGATTTCGGCAACAAGAAGAACACATTTCTAGCTGCCGTGATCAGGGTTGTAATATCATCTTTTGCCTGGCCATTTGGTATTAGAGTGGACGCAAGATATTTAAAATCAGGCATTTCCTCATCCGGCAATGAATTTATAAAAAAAGGCAGTTTATCAGCTTTCTGCACATAAGACGAAAAAATTTTCGTTCTATTTACATTGATCCTGAGTCCGATTTTCGCTGCAGTTGCTGATACGTTATTTAGCATTATTTGCATTGAGTAATAACTGTCAGCAAAAAGGACTACATCATCGTATTCAAGATCCATGATACGATGCTCTGGATTGATTTGGACACCTCTTGAGTGCCGCGGTATCCATTATTCAGCCTATCGCATAGTTGAATACTATAGGGGAAAGGAACGAACCCTGACGGACATCAGTTCTTTCGAAGGAATCTATTAGCTCCCCATATACACAGACCTGCGCCAATATGTGCGCATAAAACGCCTTTATGAGTCGAATGATTTTCTTTGGAACACCGTCGCGTTCCATTATCCTCCATATTCTAACTTGTATATATAACAACATATAAGTTAAAATAAATAAAAAATGAATGCAATGAACAAAAACTACTTCAAAAAATAACCGAGGCTTCAGGATTATATTCAGGGAACCTGCAAATTGAAGTGAGGATCAAAAAATCAGATCCGCGTAGCTGATCCCAATGTACTGCTTTTGTATGAGAAGTTCTTGATGAAGTCGCCGAAAGGTAACCGACCTAAAAAAGAAACAACTTCGTTGTTAATCATTTAACCTTTTAAGCTTGATCCACTCTGATTGAATGGAAATTAGTGAATGACCGTAAGCTCGTTTCAAAGGAAAGTTCTGTAATATTTCGGTCATTATGTAAATGCTTCAACTTTATGCGCAGATGACCGCGATAAGGATAAGTTCTATGCGGAGCAACTGTTAATAACATTCATGCCGAGAGATGGCATGGTCATACTCGGGGGAAACTGGAAAGCGCGCATAGATCATGATGCAGTTTCGATAAACTCGGTGATTGGCAAATATGGCATCAGGGTCCAATGCGCGAATGAAGAACGCCTTCTTTGTTTTGCTGAAGAACTCTTTGTTATTAACACATGCTTTCAGCATCGAATGAAACATCTAATCAAGTAAAACTCTCAGGATAACCAATATTCCAGATTGACCATATATTAGTCAGTCATCGCTGGAAGAATTCTGTACTTGATAGGCGTTCTTATCGGGGCGCTGAAACTGGTAACCGCCATGGATTATGCTATGGTTCGAGCCAAGATTCGTATAAAACTGACAAGTCGTAAGAAACAATGTATCTCAAGATCTTTCAACTATCTCAAATTAAAAGATTAAGGAACAATAAGTGCATTTAAAACCGTATTATTGAAACATCTCAGTGAAATGAATGTCAATGATATCTCTAAAACGGCGAATGAATACTTGTTCCAACTAAAGACATGCCTACAAAAATCAGCCACTTCCACATTAGGGTATAGTAGTAAGAAGTGTGCTAGTTGGGTGTCGGAAGCAACTGTCCAACTGTCTGAAAAAGCTGCCAAAGAACGAATGTCAAGAGATCCTAACTACCAGATGCAATGACAGCAGCACGGTAGGCCAGAAATCACTATTGGAGCGATATGAGAATGGAGACGGTGGCTCGGATAGGTGATAATAGGAAACTGTTCCTCCTTCTCCGCAAAACAATTATAACTTGAGAATGGGTCAGTGAAATGGCACGGGATATTATCAGGGTGCCTATTAAAGTGTTAAGGATTAAGGATCGCCTCAGAAGATGGAAAGAATTTTTGAGGCCAAACGTAGCCACGATGCGCCACCTGTTATCCCAAATATAATTGATTCGCTAATCGAGCTTTACGTTTGGAAATGTGAACCCCAACAGAAGAGGAAA